TTGGCAGAAAAAAGTGTGTGGTTACAAAAACAACAGTAACTGAAAACACTCAAAACACAGAAACAAAACACAGTGTAGATAGATATCAAATGAAACATCATATTCTTTGTGATTGTTGTAAAAAAGATTGCAGATCGCTGGGTCCTGAAACTAGGAAGCGATACGAGATGTTAACAAAAAAGTATCATGACATATCACAAAAGAAACACGATGTACAGAAACAGCAGAATGGTAAATCACATTACACACATGGTTGGAGGTGGATACTACACTTCATTTTAATTATATTGCAGATTATTTGGACAACATTCCAGACAAAGAACTTAGAGTTATTCTGTACTATCTATGCTATTCAAATAGTGCAACTTTTGATGACTAATTATCCTAGTCGGAAAAACTTCAATTCACAAGTCTTGGTGATTATCAAAAGCTGTCAATTTCTCAAAAGTGTTACACTACTTGCATTGCTACTACTAAAACTATTGCTTCTACACATGGTTTATTCTAAACACTTTCCTCATTCTGTGATTACACATACAACTTGTCGGTAACAGCAGTCACATACAGCAAGCAGATTATTTTAATATATTGTGATATTAGGTAAACCAGTCCACTTTAATTAAACAGTTTTAATTGTGTCTATATACATTAGCACGGAATTAATTATCATGTATCTGGTATAACAATATTTAGAAACCACCCATTATAGTGTTTCATAATGAGGTATTAGTAACATGGAAGTACAAAAAGGCAGATGCCCACGCAACATACGCAACGAATGTTTGCAAATTGGAGTACCAAACTGATGGCCTTCGAACCCGGTCAAAAGTGTGTTTCTACCAAAAGATTCAGTCGAATTGTATATCGAATGCCTTTCCCTTACACTGTTGTAAGAAAAGTGTCAAATGTTGATTATGAAATTCATTATAAAGGGAAATTGAAAATTTTTCATATTAACATGATGAAAAAGGTATTAATAATGTAACAGCATACATGGATGATATTTGCATATACACAAAAACTTTGCCGGAACACATAGACACCTTGAAAAAAGTGTTCAGCAACATTCAAAAGGCAAATCTGACTGTTAATCCAGTGAAATCAGAGTTTTGTTTCACACATATCCATTTTTTAGGACATACAGTGTTCCAGGGTAGTATTCAGACTGACGAGACAATTGTTTCTAAAATTTTAAAAGTTGAAAGACCAAAGACCAAAAAACAACTGCAGTCACTATTAGGACTAGTAAATTATTACGGCAAATTCATCCCTAAGTTAGCAGAACTAACAGCCCCTCTATCGGAACTTTTGAAAAAAGACCAGTTTAGAAAAAAGGATTGGACAGAAACTCATGACAAAATCATACAAAAAATCAAGTCTTCATTTGCTACTCCACCAATACTAAGACAACCGGACCCATCTAAAACTTTCTACCTACAAACTGACGCTAGTGGTCATACCATAGCCGCGATGTTGGCTCAAAGGCATTCCGGTACTCTTCTTCCGGTTCTATATCTTTCACAGAAACTTAATTCCACCCAACAGAAATACAGTACTTTTGAAAAAGAGGCTCTCGCTCTTGTTATCAGCCTTAAAAAATTCCAAAAATTCTTAATAGGAAAGGAATTCATTATTCTGACTGATAACTTAGGCCTGACAAAATTGTTAACAATGGATGCAACAAATAACGCAAGAGTATACAGATGGGCGTTATTATTATCCCAATTTCAGTTCAAGATAGAACACATTAAGGGCATTGAAAACCATCTACCCGACGTGATGTCCAGATTATAAACATAGATTCAATTTTGTATTGTATGTATTACCTGGGAAAATCCTGAATTACAGGAAAGAATATGGTTGAATGAATGAAATATGTAAACATAGCTTAACTGATGATTTTTATGTATGTTACATTTGTAAGTAAGTAACAATATACGTGTGATAATGGTGACTATAATGAGGAGAAGGATGATGACTATGAGATGAAGATGACAATAATGATGATGACAACAACAACAATGATGATGATGATAATGATGATAACGATGATGATGATGACGATAATGATGATGATTATGACAATGAAGATGTTACAGCATCTTGAAATAAGGTTTAATAATGATTGCATATGTTGTTTAGATAAATTTATTGGTGAAAATATAGGTTGTAAAACATGTAATAGGGTAATTACTATGATATAGAAAGGGAATAATAATACTTTTTCGGAAAAGTGATGGGTAATTTACACCACATAATCCAAGGGATTGAGTTCGAAATCCTAAATAGGGAAACATATATCTCTAATTGAAACGTAAACCAGTGACAGTAGCCATGAGTCCAACGGTTAGGGTGGGACTTTGCGGGTTTTCTACATTTCTGTTCCATAGCCGATATGGACTTCAGTACTTGAAAGAGAGTACCAGAATTGTTGTTCTGTTTTATACAGACTGTGGGATGGCATGGGGTTAATACGCAGAGCCTATATGGACTACCGCACTTGGAAGAGAGTGCCAGAATGGTTGTTTCCCATTAAGCCACTTGGTACTTATTGGTACTTATAACTGGTAATGTGACAAAGGGAAATAATGTAAAACCTATCAAAAGGGAAGTAGCCATTAAAACCCAAAATGATTATTAGGTAATCCACATCATTACATTAAAGTATTCCCAAACCTTTAAAATTATAACCTAAAGATAAAGTAATAGAAAAAAAATTTAAGGTTAAATTTTTTTACTAGAAGGGAGGGGGAGATTGTAATGTTGTGAATTCCCGGGGAAACCCCAGAGAGTTCCCGATGGAGAGAAAAAGGTCGGAGGACCCGTGAGAGAAGAGAAAAACGGGAGAAGTGAGTCTCGTGTGTCTCATGGTGAACGAAGTGAGAGACACAAGAAAAGCATGAGATGTGAACGAAAGACGTGAACCGAGAGACTGAAGTAAGACAGTTGAAGTTCGGCCCTGACTGAGAGAAGACGCATGAATGGACGCCTGAGAAGAATAAATGATTTGTGAAGTGAACGTTATATTCCAATAGGAGGACTGAATGTTTTTCCATACGTCGTAATGTCAGATATCAGAGTTCGTGAAGTATAGATGGATGGTTCGAGAGACGCTGATAAATTCCCGTAGTGTGTGGGAAGTCCGACCAGGTGGCTAGATTCAGCCAAGCAAGTCGAGCACGAGGAAGCATGAATGTATGTTTGCGATAACTGGCGATTTAACGAATAAAAGCAAAGAACTCAATATTCGTTCATGCTGTGTCGTTTCAACTCACTGTTCGTCTGAAAGCAATGTAAACAAGACATGCCCCTAGATGAGCACATTACAAATACATTCATTAACCTGTCCTTTTTATCTATAAAATCAATAGTTACTTCATTCATACATTGAGTTATTCATTCATTCTCTAATTCCTTTTTCATCCATTCACTATTTGAGTTAGTTGTTCCATCAATCAGTTTTTGAGTTTTTATGCAATAAATAATTCATTCAGTTAACTGTTGATATATTAATGAAACCAATTATTCATTCATACATTAAATTATTATACCATTGAATGATTCATTCATTTATTAAACATTCTCTTGTTTTTTAAATCAGTCATTTATTCAATCGAACACTTGGTTATTAAAAAAAATGCATTCATTCATTCATTAAACGATTCTTTCATTCTATCACCATGTCATTCGTGTATTAAATAAATAAATGTTTTTATTTATTTTTTTATTTACTTATTTAGTAATTCGATATTTTAGCTGTTCACCTAATGCAGAGGTCAACGCTCTCATTAGTAAAAATTCAGACGAAGCAGATGGACTAGTCTACACAGACGGATTTGTTATACTCCAAAAAAGAAGCGCATGGGCATTCACAGCACGCTCAGCGGGCAGAACAGTCAAAGAAGCCAACGGCGCCTTCTCCATGACAACCAGCAGCATGACGATGGAGGTAATGGCAGTGACGCAAGCGTTCGTCTGGCCCGAAACACAAAACTACACCCACGTATGTTAACTCAGTGATTCAATGAGTATGATCCGGAGGGTTCAGGCAATTTCGATGCGTCAATGAGTATGATCCGGAGGGTTCAGGCAGTTTCGGTGCGAAGACAACGGCTTGAATCATTACAGAAGTCCACTGTGCGTGGAGTCACCGTTATTTTTGTTCCCTGATACGCAGGCGTCGATGAAAATGAAAGAGCTGATAGGTTGGCTGGATCCGTTATCACTACCGACGGTCAGCCTACGTATCATGCTGATATTATTAATGCCCTCAGAGAAATGGGAAGGATAGAGGACTTTGGGGGCAGTGAATCCACATCACTCGCCAGAATGGCAGACCTCGGAATTTAAGATCAGCATAGAAAAAAAAAAAAAAAAAACGAGACGCAAACCAGACACACCAGAAGACTTGTTAATTAACATAGAACTTGTACTATTAGCCATCGGACGTTGGGGATCATACTGAGGGGAGGATCTGAGCACCTATGGACGTAACCGGAGTGCAGTGATGATAACCCAACTAACTAACTAACTAGCTATTCACCTATTTATTAAATCAATCACTGTTTCCTTGATACATGCTATTTTCCATTAAATAAATAAAGCAACCTATCATTAATTTTTTCAACTATTTAATCGTTTAATCTCCCATAAGGAGGACCCTATTATCCCAACATTCTCCCTGATAAACCCCCCCCCCCCCCCCCCCCCCCCCCCCATCCCCACACACGCACGCACGTACGCACGTATATACACACACACACACACACACACACACACACACACACACACACACACACAAAGGTTGTCTTTTAGCGCAATTAATTGTAACGTATTACCCCCTAAAACACTCAAAATATGCACCAGCACACCTCGGCATAGAAGAGGAAAGACAAAACAAGACCGAGTGTCTCAGTACACAAGAGTAAGTAAGAGTGGAATCACAAAGGATGATGAATGAGTATCGTTAACTAATGAGATTCTGTTCTCTACTTTTGTAGATTTACTGGAAAAACCCATCGATCCACTTGACATAGAGGCCACGGTGAAAGCAAAAAAGCTCTATATGTCTTGTATGAATGAAAGTAAGTTTTTTGTTGTCGTTGTTTTTGTATAAATAAATTATCCTATTTTTTTAATTCTTGTTGTGGCATTTAAATTAAAATGTGGGCATTGGTGATACAAATGATAGTCACACGATAAAATAACAGTCAGCGTCATCATCTGTGGCTAAGTAGATGCGAACGCTTCGTAATGCCGGGAGTCCGGGTTCGATCCCAGCTGCGGGCCATGTGTCTTGCGTTGGTTTCGACAGTGGTAAAAAGAAAGCCGACCATCCAGTGCAATGGCAAACTAATGGACGTAAATTTGCCTAGAAAAACCACACAACAGCCAGGGGCTGTTGGGGTTGGTTCTGCAACGTCCTGTAAAGGATACGCAACTAACCTAACAGCGTCATCAAATGCGATAAACTAGTTAGTAAAGATTTCCCTTTTCACGCCTTTAGGCGCATCTTGCATATGGGAAGAGCAACCATATTTTTTCAGACCATTAGGCACTAGGTAGGTAATGTGGTCAGCATTACGCCGGCCATCTTTACTTCCCCAGGACATACATCCTGGTACCTATTTTAGGCTGGGTCGACCTGCGACGCCCTATACCGCGATAAAAATCCACGCATCAAATGCTATGCCTCTCCAAATCTTGTGTCTTCAACAACGTGTATTATTTCTTGTTTTGAGACCCTTTCATGCCATGAAAAACTAACACCCAGTCTTAAATATGTTTATTTCATTAAATTTTGCGCTGATGTTTTATGTTTCCTTGTATAAAGATGAACATTTATTCAATTACAATAATCTGAATTTATCCAAAGCATTATTGTGAACAGTATTTATTTATTCGTTCAGTGCGTTAAAATTGTATACGTCCAAAATACGTCCGTCTGTCTGACGATACTAACTAGGGTCTAAATTTGGGGTAGGGCTTTTATTACCAGCCTCCTGAAAAAAATCATGCTAGGATTTATTTTCCGGCTAGCTCAGCGACTGTCAACTTTCTCAATGCTGCCACCCTTTAATACAGTTCCCTTATATTGTGGCGACCCCCAGACAATTATTTTCCGTCATAACTTCAATGAATATGTGTTTTCCTATAGTCTTAGGCGACCCCTGTGAAAGGGTCGTTCTACCCCCCCCCCCTAAAAAAAGGTCGCGACCTGCAGGTTGAGAACCGCTGGGCTAGCTCTTATTTCCGGAAAACCCGGGAACATGGATGACCAAATAACTCAACAAACGTTGCTCGGTATTCCACGGATAATGTTCTCTTCTAGCTGCCTTCTCTTTCAGACATGCGTGGTGTATTAACTCTTTGTATCTGAATTAATGGTGTGTACTTCTGCGGGTCGGCGCGATGCTGACCACATCGTTCACCGAGTGATCTATAAAATATAGGTCTAGCCCTATATGCCCAATACGCCTGAAGGCGTGGGAAAGGGTTCTTTATTATTACTTACTTTACCTTTACTACTTTTACTGCTTTTTGCTCTGTCGGTTTTCCTGGTCGACTGCTTGTACCAACAGTGAGCTGGAATTCTGATGTGGGACTGTTAGTGTTGGCACATGTATGCGTGTGTGGATACTCTGCTGGTGTTTGTGACTAACTGCTTGCGCCAACACTGTAATGCAATTCTGGTGTGGGACTATTACTTTTGGCACATGTGTACTTGTGTGGATGCTCTTCCGGTTCTCGCGATGGACCACTTGCACCAACAGTGAGCTGCAATTCTGGTGTGGTACCGTTACTGTTGACACATCTGACAGCTGCCTCGTGCATTTTTACTTTGCCTGTGTAAGCTTCTGGTGGGTATGACAAGTGTTTTCCTGTTTTTTTTTTCAAATGGGACACAATACAGTAAAGGACATTTTGTGTGATTTTTACAGGCATGGGAATGGAACAGTCAAGGGGTAACCGGTCTGCAGTGATAATGAAACCTCGATTAACGACTTAGTATCACATTTATTAGATTACCCACTTCTGTCACATAAGCCTCCGTGGCATAGCGGCTAGGGGCCCACCTTCAGATCTAAAGCTCGTGGGTTCAGGTTCTAAGAGAGCCGGACTTTTTTTTTTTCTCAATGACTTTGGCTTCCAGGTCGACCCAAACTTAAATGGGTACCAGGTACAGTCCTGGGAAGTAAAGGCAGATGACGTGATATTGACTGCGTTACCCAACGAGCCCCGATAGGTCTAACAATATAGGTCTAGCCCAATGTTCACAAAACGCCCGAAGGCGAGAAAAGGGATCCTTTACTTCTACTTCTATCCCGTTGTGTCTATGTTGGAGTCTTTAGTGCTAAGCATCTGTTGTCTGGGCGTAATGCTGACCACATTACCCATCCAGGGCCGATTGGTCTCTAAAAATATGGGACGCTCTGCCCATATACCCGATGCACCTTAGGCACAATAGGGATCTTTTTAAAACTGATTTGTTGTCTGCAATCTAAACTTTGGAATAGAAGAGGTTTTCTCAGTTCGGGTTCCGGGGCCCATTTGTTTTTTGTTTTGTGTGTGTGGGCTGGGGGGGGGGATTATCATCATCAAGTGCCTTGCCGTCTGGCGTGGGGGAGCATACCTCTCCGCAGTCTGCAATCTGCAATTGTGTATATCAGTTAATTTGCTGACATCCCTTCATGCCATGACAAAAGGCTGTCAAGAATCTTCTCGCGTTGTCTTCCTCTGCCTCTCTTTCCACAGATCTTTCAAGTGGTCACAAATACCCACCGCCTTTTAACAAGCATGTCGTAAAGGGATTAATTGAGGTCTTGTTAAGATATGATGTGTCTGACAGGGAGGTGCAATTACTGCAGCCTTTCTGTAAACCACAACACAGATTAGAACCGCCCCTTTCAAGCCAAAAGAAGGAGGAGAGAAGAAGGAGAAGAGGAAAAGGAGAAGAGAACGAGGAGACACAGAAAAATGCACTTATATCCCAAATTCACTCTGCTGAACTCCAACAATGGTATTTGTTGCTTTTAAGTTGCACTTCTTTGAATATAAAAGGTTAAAGAGACGGTTTCTTTGAACTGAAAGAGTGAACTAACCCCTACAGGTCAGATCGACAGTGAGGGTCTAGAACCGGTTAGGAAACTCCTGGCGGACCTGGGTACATGGCCCATCTTGCACGGGGATGCCTGGGACCCAGACGGCTCTGTCAGTGTCCTTGACCTCATCGTCAAGCTGACCCTCTACAATAACAAAATACTCATCGACCAGTGGGTGTCTGCTGACGACAAGGACTCGGAGATTAATATAATTCAGGTAGGAGATGTTGTTGTCCTCGAGGGAGTTCCAAGGGCCCGTTTTCACATCGTTGTGGGGGGAGGAGGCGGCGGAGAGAACGAACGAACGAACAAACTTTATTTTCAGAGGGTTACAAATTGGGCACGCAGGCCCGTCTGACATTCGACCCTTCTAAGTACTCATTTTTCAGAGTACCAATACCTGTTATCAATAATGCATGTTATGGATATAATAAAGAAATATAAATTATAGAAAAATGCATACACACATCATGTGTACACAATCGTACACACTCACACACACGTAGACATACTCCTATCTTCTCATACATGCGAACCCTTATACAGACATTTGTGATACATGCAAACACACATATACAATCGCATGTACAGACACCAGCATATGCCCACAACCGCACATTTACACTTACATGAATACATACACCCACATACATGCATTCACACATACATGCATACATAGAGAGAGAGAGAGAGAGAGAGAGAGAGAGAGAGAGAGAGAGAGAGAGAGAGAGAGAGCGAGAAAGTGAGAAATATGAGAGAGAGAATAGACCTCTAGCCTCTCAACAAACCCGTCAATAGACTCATTAAAATAAGAAAGGGACATTTTTCTACGCCTTCATGCGTACTGGGTATTCAGGGCTGGCCCTATATTTTATAGACCATTCAATACTTGATGTGATGTGGTAAGCATCACGTCTGCCGCCTTTTCTTCCCAGTACGTTTCCTGGTAGCATTTTAAGGGTGGGTCGACCTGGAAGTCCAGCTCTGTCAGGACCTGAATCCACGTCCTTCCGATCCGCAGCGAGTGTCTAGCCACTACACCATGGCGGCTCCCGGACCAATTGAGGGTTTTCTAAAAATCGGATGTGTTTGGCCAAAATATGCAGATATCAAAGTCTAGTTTTCAACCACAGTAAAACGTACCAGCTGGACCTCTAAAGGCATACGCAGAAGGAGGAGGGGAGGGGAAGATGTCGAACTTTCATTCCAGCAGTGGCTCGTCCGGTACATTTTGCCAGGCCTTTAATATAGAGAGACACACACACGCGCGCGCGCACACACACCAATCGACTCTCTATAAGGGATGGGTTTCAAGCTCAAACTGGTTGCCCTTTTCTTTTCTTTACAATTCTAGTCTGGTTCCACCTGTGGGTATTAACCAAGACCTTCGTGCTAGCTGGCAAGAGCCTAGCCAAAGCCACCTTAGTGTAATTTAGGTGATTTTCATCTAAGTGCGTTTCCAGTGCTGATGTTTGTCACTTTGCAGTATGCCAAAGGCAGACATGTGAATTCCTAGTCCAGATAGTTCAACATGAAGTAATACTTTTTACGCAATAACCTAACTTTCGTCTGCTAAATCTGATTCTCGACAAAAATGGAAATACTCACATCCTAAAAGATCTGAACATTTAGGAAGATTGGCTGAAATATTTTGGCCATATCAAGCGCGAACCTGAAAAAGAAATGCTAGAAGGTGTGGTGCCAGAAAGGAGAGGCTGGGGCCGACCAGCACGAAGATTGGTACAGTATATAAGCGACTCCTTGGGTATGGAAGTACATGAGGTGGGAGAGCTGGCGGGAGACGATTTCTTTCTTGATGAGAACTACGTTCTGGAAAGGACTTGCTACATGCTGATGATGAAATCTGATTCAAAAGTGATGTTCTCGAAACAGGGATTTACCACTTAAATGGCATTAGCGTAGTATCAACGATTATATTGCTATAGACCCCGTCTGAGTTTCGGAGCCCCATTATGGGGAAGACAAGAATAAACCAGCTGCATCAGCATGTCGTACAAGTCGACTCATTGGCTGCATACTTCGAAGTCGAAGTACATTTGTCTGAGAGTCAAGGAACCAAGAGTCTGCTTACGAAAAGCCAGATCTGCGAAATGGATGTACACACAACACTCAGGTTCTGCAACAAGACTAACATCTGGAGATGGAATAACACCACCCATAAGCTTTGGGAGAGAACTAAGCAAGCTCCAGTGTACCAAGAGGTGAAGAAAATGTGAAGACGCCGGCGTTGGATAGGACACCCAATGAGAAAACCGGAGAACAATAGCAAAGGATATGATAACGACGACGAAGTTATTGCTATACAACAATACTTTCTACTGGCTCTATCCATAGCTGGACCAGGCGGACCTGGGCATGCCCTCGCCCGATTACTTCCTCCACGAGGACGCAGTGACCAAGCTGCCCGTATACAAGAAGTACGCCTACGATGTGGCCATCATGTTCGGCGCTGACCCCAAGGTGGCCCAGAAGGACGTCGACGACATGGTCAATTTTGAGATTGAGCTGGCCAAGGTTGGTGGTGATCTGCTTCTGTGATTTTGTCTGTCTCTATCATGGCTTTTTAATCAATGTTTATTATCATTATCATTATTATGTCTACCAAGATCGCAGTCTGAAGACTCAGTAGCTAAAAGAGTCACGATTCGACTGTGAATCCAACAGAGGCAAATTCCACAAACCCCTTCAACCGTATAAAACCGTTATATTGGTACACCTTACGGGTACAAGATAAGCTGCTGTTCGGTGTGGGTGAAATGATTGTTGTCATGCAGCAACAAAACTTCCTTTGTGTGAAGATCCCGACGTTTTGATCGGATCGCGAGCTTCAGCTTGTTCGTTGACGTATCACTGTAACGAGCACTAGTCACAGTTTCGAACCCCATCATGCATCAGTATCAGAGCTATTGATATCCTAAAAGACCGTTACCATGACCTTCCCATCTGAAGCCTGTGTCTTGCATTTTTTCATTAACGGTGACGCCGGGTAAACAAAAGAAGTGCATAAAAACATAAGAAAGATCTTAAACAGGAGAGAATATTTAATAGGAAATGGATGCATCAGAGGAAAAGATGGAGTAATTGTAGTTGATAAGAATAATATAATCACAAGGTGGACTGAATACACAGAGGTCCTATTTTGGGATAATAGAGGCATCAAACCAGAACTGTTTAATCTTTACGATGGACGCAACATTTGAAAAGCTGAAGTGGAGAAGGTTATTAAAAATATGAAGCATGGAAAAGCCGGAGGTCCTGACAAAATAACTACAGAAACGATAAAATCACTGTCCAGCTTTGGCGTTTATAGCATCACTGAAATGTGTAATGATATTTATAAAACTGGATACAATCCAAAGAATTTGGAAAGACTATTTTCATTACACTGCCCCGAAAAATCAAACACTGTTGAGTGGGAAGATTACAGAACAATTAGTTTGATGAGCCATTTAACTCAAATACTTCTTAAGATCATTCAAGAAAGAATTCAAAGTAAAATAAATAGTGAAGTGTCTCAGAAACAGTTTGGATTTAGGAAAAATAGTGGCACTAGGGAAGCCATAATTTGTTTAAAGATGCTGGCTGAAAAATATACCGAAGTCCAGACGAGAATTTACGCATGTCTCATAGATTACAAGAAGGCCTTTAACAGGCTGTAACGTGAAAAGCTTATTGCATACCTCCGGAATATAGGATTAGATGCAAAGAATATAATAATTATTAGTAACATATACTGGGAACTCTCATTATTTAATGTCAGAAATATGGTGTTAAAATGTTACATAGAACCTGTTCTGCTGTATGGCAACTAACCTTGGAATGTCAGTGAATCTATTAAGAAGAATTTGGAAGCAACAGGGATGTGGTTTCTGAGACGAATGTTACGAATACCTTGGACGGCCAGCGTAACTTACAGCGATTTCTTGAAAGAAGCTAATGAAAGTAGATCTCTATATACAACAATAAGAAAGAGACAAACACTGTTCTTTGGCCATATAATGAGAAGAGAAGAGAGACACTGGAGAACATCGTGACAACTGGAAAGATCAGTGGGAAAAAGGGGTAGAGGCAGACCAAGAGAGATGATGCTGGCTGGGCTGAAACAATGGCATGGAGGAATATCATCAAGGGAGCTGTCCCAGGGATCGTGATCTATAAGACGCATGACATACGCCAGTCGGCAGGGCACATGGTGATGTTGATACTGGGAACAAGCAGCAACAGTTAGACACAACAGCATCACCTTACCTCAGACAGAGATAAAGAGAGGAGAACGTCAGGGATGTGTGTTATCTCCAAGCCTTTTCAACTTGCATACAGAAAACATTTTTAAACAGGTTGAGGAATTGCCTGAACTGAATAATAATGGAAGAGCAATAAACAATCTGAGAAACGCAGAGGACACAGTGCTACTAGCAGAAAGCGAGCAGGAGTTATAAGAACTAGTTGAACAAGTCAGCAGGTGGAGTGCAGAATTTGGTTTAGACATTAACATTCGAAAAACAAAAACTACAGTAATTAACAATGGAAAAGAGCAGTGAACATCAAAGTAAACGGAGAGCTATTAGAACAAGTAAAAAGTTTCTCCTGTCTAGGACACATGGTAACAAGATGACGGAAGAAGCGAAACAGAAATCAAAAAGAGAATAGGAACGGCTAAACTGTCTTCAGTAAGATGCGCAAGTTACTGACAGCTAGAGAGATAAACAACACACTAAAATTGAGAATCGTCAAATGTTATTATACATAGTCCTGCTGTATGGTATACAGGAGAATAATAGGTCGTATTTCGTGGGGGGGGGGGGGACAATCCAATACACCAAGGCTGCAAATAAAAAGAGAATTACTGAAAGAAATAAGAAAGGGACAATTGAAATACTTTGGCCACATTAAAAAACAACACACTTTTAAAAACCATACTGGAGGCAAAAGTCGAAGGCAAGAGATAGACGGGTAGCAGTCTGAGACAGTGTACAACCTGCACAAGAAACAGAGCATGTTAATGATACGTTGCAGCCAACCTTCCTTGTGGAAACGGCACCTGATTGATTAGTGATGAAGAGGAAAAATTAAATGTGACGATCATGCAAAATGGGAGGAATGCAAATGGCTCTTACGGCTTTAACAACTGATAAGATGATCGAGGTGACTGAAGCAGGGTTGGGTAAGAGAGCAGTGCTACGGTGCACCAAAAGCCAGAGGGGCTATATATTGACTACACAAAATAAAACCAGTAAACGATAAGAAGTGATCAGGACTATGCTAGGAACTAAAGAAAGGATAATAATGAATCTGCCACACAAAATTAGGATTTCCAAAGACATCAACAGACCAACAGTAACCATAGTCATCACATGTGTGCCACTAACCACCGAAAAGGACAGAATTATGGATGACTTGAAGAGGGACAACCCAGGCATCGAATTCATCCAGATAGACAAACAACATCTAGAGGGAACCCCACCACCGTAATTAGGACTAAATGTGAGGGGATGGCAGTTCCAAAACACATCATGCTGAAAGATAAAATAAAGTTGATTGAATTATATATTCCTGTTATGCCGCCTTGCGAAAGATGTTTACGTTTCTTTTACAGCAGACAGCAATGTCGGGCCAAGGAGCGCACTTGTAGATTTTGTGGAAAGAAGCATTGTTTTAGGGAGTGTTTGAAGGCTAGGGTCGATGGGGAGTGCAGCAAGCAGAGCCCTAAGAGATACTGTATCAATTGCAAGGGAAATCACAGTGAACGTTACCTAGGATGCCCGAAGAGGGGAAAAGCATTAATGATTTGGAAGGAAACTTTAGTTACAGGGATGCCAGTCGCTATGATAAGATGAAGACTACAAGAAGGAATTCAAGGACTAAACAGTGCACTGGGGAGTGAAACAACACAGGCGGTTAGCAATACCAGCAGCGAGCAAATGATCACGAAGATTAGAGACAGGGAGACGGAGATGTATACAGCCAGTCAGATTGATGGAAAGGATATCAGGCCAACTGTTGCTCGAGTCTCCATACCGACCCTACCCCTCCAAAGCCAATATCCTAGTCCTAGCATCTGTCCTCAACAGTTTCAACCATCCCCCACTGCATCCTTTCCTCCCTTCCCCTTAATCATCTCACACCACCCCCCCCCCTCCCCGACCTCTCCCTAAGGCGCCCCAACCACCTGCCCTAGTACAGAACCATCCTCCCACTGGCCTTGCACTGATCCTTCTTCTCCTCGGTATCCTCCAGACCGAGCTGCCCCATCATACCATCATTCCCCCCCCCCCTTCCCTTCCATCAACATGGCCAGAGAACTACCTTACTTCCAGCATCCATACAGATCCATACCTGCACACCTGTGAACCGATGTTAGCCTGAATGCTACTAGCAGAAATATATAAACTACATAGGGCAAGAAATGTTAACACACAGATAATGAGAGAAAGGGAAACGGAGAAGATAAGAATGCACAATGAAGTAAAGTAATGCATAGATTCTCTTATGAAGACGGTACAAGAGCTAGCAAACAAAGGGAGAGATAACAAAACTCACAGAACAGGAAAAAAAAAAAAAAATTTAAACAATGAAAACAGGCCCAGGGACACAAGTATTGACAACAAGGCCTGGCAAGATAAGGCCTACAGTATGTGAAGATCTAAAAAGTGACACCCAAAACAATATTGTCCGCTATGTCCATTTCTCCTTTTGTTTTTATTGTTTATCGTTTTCAGATCACTATTCCGAGAGAAGAACGGAGGGACAATGAAAAGATGTATAATAAAATGACTATCAAACAGTTTGCCGAGTTGGTTCCCGGGGTAAGTAGTCGGTCCTCCTTTTCTTCTTCTTCTTCTTCTTCTTCTTCTTCTTCTTCTTCTTCTTCTTCTTTTTTCTTCTTCTTCTTCTTCTTCTTCTTCTTTGTGGTTAAAGTGGTTTACGGAAGAAGAAGATGGAGTAGAAGTCGTTGCAGTGTTATTGGCGATTGTGGTAGGAGGAGCAGAGGAAGAAGCGTTTCTGTGGCTTGGTTGCTTCTGGTTCGTTTCGTATTGCCGGAGTGTCGGGCTTGATCCCAGCTGCAGGCGATTTGGTAGCAGACTGTCTTGCGTTGGTTTTGACCTTGGTATCAAGAGCTTACCATTTTAAACAGCAATAGCAAACTACTAAACGTAACATTTGTCTAGAAAAGCAAAATATCCCCCCGAAAATGTTGTAGTTGGTTCTGCAGCGTCCTGTAAAAGATGCGCAACTTACTTTATATATATATATATATATATATATATATATATATATATATATATATATATATATATATATATATATATAAGCATATCAGCAAGCATATGACGCTAAACTTGTATTGTTATAGATCATCCGCACTCGATGAGTGATGTGGTTAGCTTTATGTTGATCACCTTCACATCCCTGGACAATACCGGTGCTCACCATAAAGTGTCGGTGTGCATCTGCGTGAGGAGAACGCAACCAGAAGTCTGTATAAAATTAACCCAGATCTGTAAAACGGATTGCAAGCCAAATTCAAGTTCTGAAGCAGGACTAAAGTGGAGAAGACGAAGAGGAGGAGGAGGAAGAAGAAGAAGAAGGAGGAGGAGAAGGAACAGAATGATGATGATGATGATGATGCAAGCATACGAGCGTCTAGCCATGATACGACCGCAGCTCAGACACTTCGCGGACAATTCTGGAAAATTCTGTATACCATTGGACTCATGTCTGCTCTTTCGCAGTTCGACTGGCTGGACTACCTGCAGAAGATCTATGGGACAGTGGGTATCAACATTACAGAGACGGAGAAGATCGTTGTCTATGCCCCAGCTTACTTTCAGAAGTTCGCCAAACTCTACCAGACTGTGCAGAAAAGGTAAGGCTTGGTCTTACGTCAGAACATTAAAGAAAATGAAGATGTGTGTTTATGTAGATTCTTACATTTAATAATTAACTGACTGTCCATGGTTCACTTCCATACGTCAGTATTATCTCTACTTAATTTTTTTACGAATTCTTTTGCTTGCCTTATTCAATAAGACAATATGTATGGGTTTTCTCGAACATCGGGTTTTGTCTGCATACACAGGAAAGCTATCTGAAGTTTACAGGAGGTATATAGATGATGGCGTTGGTATTGCTGAAATGTCATGTGATTAACTCGACCAATTCAATAATTTCATCAGCACATTCAATCTCACTATTCAGTTCACCCCTTTGATTTCCACAACTTCCGTGAATTTCTTGGACATCAAGGTTAGCATCGACTTTCCATTCTTAACCACCCGTGCCTGTTATTATAAACCCTCTGATTCGATAACTATCTTAGCTAGGCATCCTCTTACCCATTCTCTTGCAACAATTCTTTACCACTCTCTCAGCTGCTTAGATTACGTAGGACTTTTTCTGTGCCCGCCTCTAACCTAAATACATTCTTATGGAGGCTGTTTAAAAAGTCCAATCCATTACCCAGAGAGAGGCATTGCCCACTAAACGTAAACCTGCTCTTTGAAGACATAAACTGATCTTAACTTTTCACCCTAATAATGTGGCTGTATCTAGAATCTTCCGTCGTCATCTTAATATTCTTCGCTCTAATCCTGCCACCTCTAAGATGTTTTTGACAACCCTAGAGTGGTCTACATGCGAGACTGTAATCTTAAGAACATACTTGTCAGAAGCAGATTGCCTCCGATCCAGAAAACGGTTCCTTCCGGTACTTCCAAATGCTCCCGTACAGATGTAAAACATGTCCATTTGTGACCCAACCCCCTTCGGTCTGCTTCCCGAAGGGTTTATTTCAAATTAAAGAATCATTTACTTGTAAACATCTTGCTGACATTCGAACTAAGGCTCTGAAACCTATCTCCCTCCATTTTAACAGTTCTGACCACCAAGGCGAAAACGATATCTCAGTCACTGCTATCAAATCCTGATCTGGTGATCAAACCAGCCGCTACTGCCAGGACCCGAACCCACAACCTTACGATCCCCAGGCGAGCGTCAATTGTATGGAATGGGAGAGATTACCAGTTACAAACAGATCGCGCTGCTGTGTACAGACAGGGGTAGAAGTCGAGTGACGTTTAGGCACCATCCTGTTTATATCATTTATCGCTTGAGTGAGGAGCTGGATTATCTTCACAGCACTCTGGACACATTTATGGGTGCTCAGATCCCCCCTTCTGCGTGTGCGTCCGGTGTGCTTCTCATGCTTGGCTGTGCCGATCTTTACTCCCAATTATCGTATTCTTAGCAGAATGTATCGTCTTCGTGTCTAGGGTGAAAGCCAACTACCTCTTCTGGCGTATCCTGATGAACCGGGTCAACAACCTGCCCAGCCAGTACCGCAGCATCAAGAATGAGTTCTTGAAGGTTGGTTCAGATCTCTAGACCTAAACTACAACTATTATCATCATCATCATCATCGTCATCATCATCATCAGCATCATCATCATTTTTAATGATCATTTATGTTTGTTGTTTGCTTGGTTCCGCTTTTCCAGATAAAAGTGTTGCATTAGATCATAGGGAGGCATTGGAATCACAACACATTGCGATAGTTATGACTAGCAAGATCCCTTTATATTAAGAAAAGTCTCCCACAATTAGATATACAATAGACAAACAGGCAAAGTATTGATTGGCAGTTATCGAAAGTAAGAAGTAGAAAGATAATCGAAAGCCAAAGTTACCGTGGCGGCAATCGAACCTGTCACCTCCAAGCGGCGTTTTTATTTATGCGAATTCCACAGTTAGAGCAAGGCATTTCAAGACCTTCGTTACCTTGGCATATATGTTATGTGCTTCTTATCACACGTTCAGCACTTCTCTACGATCATTTTCTCCTGTATCCCTATTCCCTTTCCAAGATTCCTCAATACAGCACAGCCCCTGATATCCTTCATTGTTACTGCTATCGAAAGTTGAATTAAGAATTCTCATGATAGCACTGAGACACTCCTAAAAGAGCTCCGTCCCGATTCCCGCTATGGAGGAGGAGGGTTGGGGGGGGGGGGGGATTTCAGGTTCTGGCTCCTTTGGTGGCGATATACAGTTATTCTATTTCTTTCATTGTGTGATCGCCTGTCCGTCCATTTGTTTTCATTTGTGTTTGTGGAGTTTGATTCCTCTGCTAGATCGACCCAGTTTAGAATGGCTACCAGATAATGTCATGGGAAGCAAAGATGGCGGGTTTGATGCTGACCACATCACCCATAGAGTGCAGAAAATATCACTTGATGCTTTCTCCTGTTTAATGGTTACCTGCTAACGTTTACGCATGCGAACTGGTCACTGGGCGATGGTGTGAAAAGGGTCCTTTGCTTTTACAGGTGATATTTGGATCGCATGCGGAGCCGGCCAGGTGGTACGAGTGTGTGACGTTTGTTAACGAACACATGGGAAATGCCTTGGGGAGGCTGTTTGTGGAAGCTCATTTCGATGAGGGATCTAGAGAAACGGTGAGTTCAGAATGTACAACTGTGAGTTCAGACTGTTTATAAAAGCACGTTTCAAGATAACATTGAGTTCAGGTTTTTTTGTTTTTTTTTTTTTTTTTTTTTGTGGTTTTTTTTTTGTGTGTGTAAAGGCTGATTTCAAGAGAAACTGAGTTCATGTTGTTCGTAAAAGATAATTTCAAGAGAAACGACGAGTTCAGGTTTGAAGAAGCTCATTTTGATGAGGGTTCATAAAGAAATGCTGTTTGTTCATTTTGCCCACTTGTTAAAATACTCTTCTTGTGAGATGTCTGTAAATACTTTGCCCACATGTTATAGTACTTTTCATGCAAGATATCCTTAATTACTTTCCCACTTGTTATTGTACTTTGTACGCAGGATGGCTTTTGTTGCTTTGTCCACTTGTTATAGTACTCGCCATGCCGTATGTCTGCATTTAATTTGCCCGCCTTTTTTGGTACTTTTCATGCAGGTGTCTTTAATTACTTTGTCCACTTGTTATAGTACTTTTAAGGCAAGAAGTCCTTAGTTACTTTGTCCCCTTGTTTATAGTACTTTTCATGCAGGTGTCTTTAATCACTTTGTCCACCTGTTATAGTACTTTTAAGGCAAGAAGTCCTTAGTTACTTTGTCACTTGTTTATAGTACTTTTCAGGTATGTAATTAATTACTTTGTCCTTATCCCACCCAAACTAGGAGACAAAGCCATCCAGACATTTGTCTCTGTCACCTATTTACTCTTTATCCATCCGTGTGACTGCTGTTTTTCTTTTTAAATTGTTTTTCTTTCTTACGTATTCTTTATTTATTTTATTTTGTTTTTTTTTTCTCTTTGTCTGTTTCTCTATCCATCCTTGTTTCTTTCTATATATCTTTCTAAATATTATTATAAAAATATATCTGAATATCTGTCTGTCTGTCTCTCTTTCTTTCTTTCTATATATCTTTATAAATATCATTATAAATGATGTGGGCAAAGTAATCTGTTTATATGTCTGTCTCTCTATCTTTTTCTTTCTTTCTTTCTATTATTCTTTCTTTCTTTCCTTTTGTCTTAATTAATTTATTTATTTTGTTCTTCCTCCCCTACTATTGCTGCTGTTGCTACTGTGTATCACATTACAACGATTAATACTTCTGCTGCTGCTGCTGCTGCTGCTGCTGCTGCTGCTGCTGCTGCTGCTGCTGCTGCTACTACTACTACTACTACTAATAATAATAAAAATAATAATAATAACATTACTACTACCAATAATACGAATGCTGTTGCTGCTGATGCTGATATGCAGTCTAAATTAGTTCCCCTGTTTCATAGTTTCAAGTCATAGTCAGTAGTAGTTCATACTGTGATGTTGCTATAAATAGGGATAACGTCAGGGGATGACTGGCATAATTGGGTAAGTCCCTGAGAGCATGGGTTTCACGGAGGTATGGTGAAACGACAAGAGAGAGTGAGTCACGTGTGAATGCGAGATCTGGGGGATTGAGAATCAGGTGGTCATTCGGTGACTGGGCCCCAGACTGGAAGGATGTGAAGCTGAATCTGTGAAGGTGAATCCAGAATGAATGATCGTGAAGGCCAGCCGTTGTGTTACACAGTTTGATTGTTGAGCCAGCCGTGTATATGCCAGTGTCCATCGTTTGAAGCATGTCTGGAGCCTTAATGCGTGAGCAGGGCGAGATTGCCCGAATGGTGTAAGTTGGTTCTTCTGTTGATTCGTGTCTCGTGCTACAGTGATAATAAACCTGTGAAATGTGTCAGCTGGTGTCGACCGTCGTTTGAAGTTGTGTGGCCGTGGAGAGAAATGCCGTCTGGTTAGAATGAGCTGTGACCTAACACCTAGACAACAGAGTCAGTGTTGAATCTGCACTAGAGAGATCAAGTGTAAAGGAGACACAAGTACATTCATTACACATACAGTAACTGTTCTCACTTCCTGGACGTCTTTCAACTTTTTTGTTGTCATGGATTTTGTGTTGTCGTGGACCTCTTCCGTTATCATGAACTTTGTGTGTGGTAAAGAGAGGATTTTCTGTAATCGTAAAGTTTTTGTTGTCACAATTAGGCTCTTGAGATGATTCATGACATCCGAAACGCTTTCTACGAGATCCTAAACGCCACGGACTGGATGGACGAGAAGACCAAGAAAGTCGCCAAAGAGAAGGTAGTTGGATGTTTAATGTGTTGTTTGTCTTACAGAAATGTCAGTGCTAATATCAGAGGGAAGATGTATCCCAGAGATAGGTTAGTTGCGGAGCCTTTACAGGACATTACAGAACCAACCCCAGCAGCCCCTGGCTGTTGTGGGGTTTCTCTAGGTAAATTTACATCCAGTAGTTTGCCATTGTTTCTGGACGGTCGGCCCCCTGACACCACTGTCGAAACCAACGCAAGGTGCATGGCCCGCAGAAGGGATCGAACCCGGCACCCCGGCATTACGAAGCGTTCGCGTCGACTTAGCAACAGAGCCGATATCCCAGAGATAAAAGAACAGAAAAAAGAAAGACTGGCACAAATGAGGAGCGGTTGGAGCTCTGGGCTCTCAAGCGGGAGACCCGGGTTCGAATCCTCGGTAAGGCTGGGGATTGTTTCTGTCGGGGGCAAAATAAAATCCTCGCCTGCAGAGTCGTGGCGACAGCACTAGCCATGCGACCGTCAATCCTCAGGCTCAAAGCCCCCCCCCCCCCCACCTACACCGCAAAAGTGGTATAATAAAGGCACCTAGAAAATATATAAAACCGAATGAAAAGTATATAAGCAAGCTTCTCAATATAACAAATACAAAGAAAACGCTAACGTTGCGGCTATTGAGCCTTAATCAGCACATACAAAAAAAAAATACTACACAGAAACGCAAAATCACTTAGCTGGTATCTCGAAACAGCAGGGTCTGTTGTTTCTCAGCAGAATGAATACACGTGTCGGCTGGGGGGAATAAATCCCCCTATAGAGTACCAGTGAAGGCAGTAATTGGCAGTTTGGCAGTTTATGCAATAAATTCATGCCATTGCTGGTTAGAAACAGAATTCTTGTATGTCATAAAATGCAATTTTAACATGCGGTTGTGAATCCTGCACACTTAACCTTTTCTCTAAAAATTACCTCACCAAGAGTATCTGCAATTCTTTACGTTTGCCTTTCTAAACACGATATTCCTTGTGTGGCTGTTATAGTCATCAGTGCTGTGCCGGTTGTTTGTTAGGTAGTCAACATATTATCCTCACTGCACATCGAACCATTCTGTCCATAAATGCTCAGATCCCCTCCTCAGTAAATCTCGTCGCTTGTGGCGGCAACGGCACCAATTCTGTATTGGTTTCCTATTTTTCTTTGGCTACCTGCAAAGTGCTCTTTTCTGGCATTCTTCTTCTTCTTTTCACCCTCTTTTACCGCTTCGGATGTCGATGGAGATATAAGGTCCTGATACGTGCTCTTCTAGCTGCTTCCTCATGCTCTAGAATTTCTCTGATATCTTCCCATCTTGTTCTTGGTCTACATTTTGATCTACGTCCTTCTATTCTATTCGTATTTGCCTTGTATGGTGTAGCATCAGAAGGCATTTTCTCCAAGTGAGCAAACCATTAGATTTGCTGTCTTTGTATTTAATTTAGAATTGATCTTGTGCCTACTCTATCTCGTACGACTTCATTCCTGATTTCATCTCTTCTGGTCACTCCTACTGTCTTTCTCAGACACCTCATTTCCATGGTTACTAATTTACTTTTCTGGCCACGCCTCGTTTAGCTTGATATTCTTGCAGTCTGGTCATAATTGCAGATTTACAGTCATCCCCTGATTCTCGCAAAAGTCTTACTTCTTCTGGAGCATTGAGTAATCTGGTAATTTTAGTTTCAGCTTCATAGCAAACGGGTAACCCCATCTTTGCTCCGCTCCTGTGCCAACGAAAAACACACAGAATGTTTATCACAGGATTGAGCATTATCAGCCTGGTCCATGGCTCGTCCGCCCTAACCTGCAAGCCTATCAGCTTCCTCATTTGCTCGCATGCCTGCATACTCTAGCACGAAAATAAAACTGATCTTTATCGCCAGAGACACCAGCCTTGAGACCCAACTCATCTCTGTCATCCTGAGTGTACTCACACTTGAAACCCTATGTATCAAACATGTGTTTTTGTAGGGAACAGAACTTTGATGAGTTAAAGCGATTTCTGTCTTTGACTAAAAGAGTTAATAAACAAGCCAAACAATTTCTCGGAGGCATCAGAGATGTCGTTTTATAGAAAATTCCTTGGACATCCAAAAAGAGTAGCTGGCTCTTTTGAAAGAGGTGAGGGCTGGAAGACAACTTGTCACAAACATCAGACACAGGCATCATTTTTTGGGGTCATGCTATGAGAAAAGGGAAACTGGAGCTAGTTGTGGCCACCGGACAGATCTCTGGGGAAAACACAACGTGAGAAGATTCTTGACAACCTTTTTTTTTGTCACGACATGGAGGGGTGTCAACACACAAACTGATGGATGCTGTTGAAGATTGCAAATTGTGGAGAGGTACGATAACCCACGCCAGTCAGCAGGGCATTGATGATGATGGTGACGAGGATGATGACTCTCTATCTCTCTTTCTGTCTCTCTGCTCTGTATCTGTGTATATTTGTATTTATGTAAATGTGTATGAATATCTGTGTGTGTATGTATCTACATATGTATGTATGCGTGTGTGTGAGTGAGGAGTGAGTCAGTATGTGTGTTTATGCGTGTGCGCAGGCAGTTACCGTCCATGCTTTTGTGTGTTTCGGTGATATTCTTATTATGCATTTTGTTATATGAACGAACGTAAAATGCTTTATTTATTAAATACAACTGTTGGGTTAAAGATGCGTGTTTGGAAAGGCCGAATGTAAGACGGGCCTGTGTGCCCAATTTGTGACCCGTTGAAAGTAAAGTTCGTTCTCTTTCTCTTTCTCAGTCTTTCTCTTTCTTAGTCTCTCTCTCTCTCTGTCTCTCTTTCTGTTTCTCTCTGTTTCTTTCTCTCTCTCTCTCTCTCTCTCTCTCTCTCTCTCTCTCGCTCTCTCTCTCTCTCTTTCTCTCTCTCTCTCTCTCTCTCTCTCTCTCTATCTCTCTCTATCTCTATCTCTCTCTCTCTCTCCCTACGAGGAAGTACAGTGCATGAGAGGTTCAGGGTATACAAATGGAAATTGGTGGTTTAAGTTGAAGCCTCATAAATGTATATGTCATAGTAGACTGTTTTGTCAGAAAGCGATATTGTGACTGGCTCAAGGAATTGGAGGAGTTACCAGATGATAGGCTTCTCATCTGTGAGATCTTCAGTAAAACGAAGGAAGCAAAAACCGGACAAGGAATAGCCCTTGCTAATGCCGTGCTTCACTCTGATATAGTCTGCATAAATTATGGCAGGCCGACTAGAATGGCAACGAGGCCGGGCGATGCAGACACAGCTGTTGACTTGGCATTTGGCTCCGAGTGATCGGTTCTTGATGCAAAATGAAATGTCTTTGACTATGGGAGTGATCACTTGCAATGTTCAGTCCCGATATCCAGATCTAGTAAGGTTAAAACTAGGAGAACGCACTAGACCTTCCGGTTTTAGCGGATCAAAACCCACCTTGGATGCCTCAGACAGAGGGCATGCAACAGGACTGTCAAAACTACTTTGTTACAGCCCTATGGTGAACTCTAAAAGTAGAATAGGCATGGAAGGCAAAGAGAGCTGCTAAGGAAAGGGGGACAAATACCTCTAAGCTCATGAGAAAAAGTGGAGAAGGCGGAAGATGGTTTAAAAAGGTGGTTTTCAACCACTGGTGCAGAAAAAAAAAAAATTAAAAAATTTGAAACTTCATGAAAAACATTGGTGGTAATAAAACACGGGGAACATTCTTGTAACTGCAAAGACAAATGCAAAGAAACCATCGGCCTGTGGCAGTAATGACAATTTATAGAGACGATGATGTGTGTTTGACAACAGCTAAAGAGAAAGGGTGGCGTTTCTGCAGAGATTTACATCGCAGACAGATCATGCACAGAAATAGTGCTGTCGTCCACGCAGAAAAGGCGTCTGTTTTGGTGGGGGTTTCGCTGATGTCCCAAGTCTCACGATAGATGGTAGAAACATCAACAGAGAGAGCAAACTGAAGTATCTGGGAATCACATTTAACAGGAGCCTGTCCCTCAAGAACTATGTGGAGACCGTTGTAACAAGATGCCAAAATTGACTTATTGCACTTAAGACTATGGCTGCAATGGACATGGAGCAGAAAATGCTTTTCACACTATATCAGCAGTTGATCCTTGCAGTGAATGATTATGGGCTAGGACTGCTGATTGCCTCAAAGAGTGACTGCTGATTTGTCTCAAAGAGTGACTGCTGATTGTCTCAAAGAGTGACTGCTGATTGTCTCAAAGAGTGACTCCTGATTGTCTCAAAGAGTGACTGCTGATTGTCTCAAAGAGTGACTGCTGATTGTCTCAAAGTGTGACTGCTGATTGTCTCAAAGAGTGACTGCTGATTGTCTCAAAGAGTGACTGCTGATTGTCTCAAAGAGTGACTGCTGATTGTCTCAAAGAGTCAGCTGGTTCAACTAGAGTGCATACAGAACACAGCTATGAGTGTCATTTTGGGATGTACCAGAGACACCTCTCTGGTGTATAGGCCAGTGTTTCCCAAACTTTTTTTTTTTTTTTTGTTGATTGCGGCGCCTTTTTTCAATAAAATCTTCCCACTGCGCTTTAACCTAAGTAAAAGTATGACTAATCGTATGTAAAAGATTTTTTTTTAAATCGTGCATCTTCGAATATTTCGCGCCGCTCCTGTGAAGAGATCGCGGCTCCCGGGGCGCACAGTTTGAGAATCATTGGTATAGGCGATACATCCGTAGTTTGCAGCCTGCAGCAGTGCTGCTGGCGAAGTCATACCCCAGAGTAGTTGCAGACACAGGCCCTCCTTTGCCCGAAGCGCTGTACGCTAATAAGGGTCTGCGGTTGAGAAGAGGGAAGTCACGGATGGCTCAGGTAGAAGACAAAGAAACAGATGTGTATCCTTGGGAACATAAGGCGATGAGACGATTGGGTCAGAGGACCGGAAGAGCAGTCGGAATTATGTAGTGTCATAATCGCATTGATCCTGGAGTTCAGGGAATGGCCAGCAGACGCCATGAAGGTGGTCATTCGGCAATTAATTCGAAATAATGCTAGCTCGAATGATGTGATTATTTATCAGACTGTTCAGTGTCAAAAGTGCCTGGGGTTTTTTGGCAAAAGCTAATGATCGACGTTCGGTGCAGAAGAGCGTAGCATATATATATCCAAACACTCAGCCTAAGAATGGAGGTGGAGGCGGTCAGTGCAGCTTTCCGCTGTCTAGAGAACACGAAGATGAGGACCAGCATGTTTCTTGCTGAGTCGCATGTTTTGCATCGGAGGTCAAGGTGAAGAACATAATCTGCATATTTTCTCCGGGAATGGCGGTGTGTTGGGAAATAAACAGGCAGACAGATTGGCTGGCTCTGCACAACTTGATGGAATACTGATGTACAATAACGCAGACGGACGTGGGTGGTTAAGATTACGTGTACAATTGGGAACAGAAAATTAGATAATCATAGTCTGGTGAGAGTGATGCAGCGGGAAGTGACGAGAGGATCTGGCTGATGCTCGACGCTCAGAGAAAAGAAAGACGGACATTTAATCAGACTGCTACTGGCACCATTGGAATCGGAACTCTGCTTTAACTGCTGAAGATAGGCACTGAGCGGTTATGGGAGTGCTTCGAGTGCTGTGATATCAGTTCTTAATCAGCTCAACTTAGCTAAACTCTATGTCTGTCTGATTGTCTGTCTGTCTGTCTGTCTGTGTATGTGTGTGGGTGGGTGGCGGGTGGGGGGAGCCGATTTGTAACCCTTTGAAAATAAAGTCCGTTCGTTTGTTCTTTCTTTCTCTCTCTCTCCCTCCCTTCCTCTCTCTCTCTCTTTAACACCCCCTCTCTTTTTCTCTTTCTCTGCCCTGTGTTTCTTTTCAGCTGTACATATGTATGGGGTCTGCTCACCGATGTGGTCAAGGTGTTTACTTCGCGCTCTGAAGGTTGTTGGAGTGTTTGCCTTATTCAGATCACGATGAATATTTATGGAGATCCCTGAGGATCGTCGCTGTAACTAGGGAGTTTGTGCTTTGTGTGACACTCTTGGTAGAGCCTCTATATCAGAGAAAGACCGAGCTATGTGGGATGAAAACACTGTGGTAGTGATAATTGTGACTGTGATATTGTTTGTGATGTTGGTGGGAATGCTGATGATGATGATTATGGTGGTGGTGAAGATACATATGACGATGATGACTAATTCCTGTAAACTCAACATTTATCTACCCCAGGCGGAAGCCATCTCAGAGAAGATAGGATACGCTGACTCCATCTTGAACGACACGGCTCTCAATGAAGAATACCAAGGGGTAAATATTCTTTTGGAAAACATTTTCACATCTTGACCATGTAGACCCCCACCCCCCTTTCCGAGCTCCCGGTCCCCACTTTGTGGAGGGGATAGCAATAGACTCGCTGCTCCTTTATAAGGATGTCGTAAAAGTCAACTAATTAGCAGTGTTTCCTTTGAAGAAGGCATGCATCTGCCTGAAATGCGGAGAAACAACAGTCTGCATACAGTTCGGTAAAACTGATAAGCAAAATTCTAGTTCTAGAGCAAGACTACATTTTACAACAGCACGAACAACCATAATTTTCCACCGGAGTTTGAAGTAGATGGGGAAGAAGAGGCTTGTGTAGCCGACTCCCCCCCCCCCCCCCCACACACACACACACACACAGTGTCCTACCTGATCTATCATGTGTCATGTATTCTTATGCATTTATATTATTTGTTTCTCTCGTTGTTGTTTTTTTCCCCTCTGGGATCACAGCAAAATGGGTTGACACCCCTGTGACTCGAAGAACCACTGTTTGGATGGGAAACCAACAGGGGCAAATCTGAGACACCCTGTTCGACCGTGTAACGGTTATTTTGGGGCGACTGACCGTTAACCGTTACGTAATGACTTGCTGTCCATGACTAGAGTGTCTTAGTGGACTTAATATACTCCTCTGTCTGGGGGTGGGGTCGAGAAAGAGGAGTACATTTAAGAACAGGTAGAAGGGAAGAAAAGAAGATAGGAAGAGTATGGGAAAGAGAAAGCAAAGATTTTTATCTTTGATTGTTGTCCTTACTGTAGTCTCCCCCCCCCCCCCTCAACCACAGAAGAGGGTTCAGTTTGTTCATTAGTAGTTTTCAGTCCTGTTTCATGTGATAAGGCCTAATGTGTCAGTAATTTCTTATCCTCTATCACGTGACAGGGCTTGATGTATCAGTAATTTCTTGTCCTCTTTCATGAAAGAGGGCTTAATTTATCAGTAATTTATTATCCTCTTTCGCGTGACACGACTTGACGTATGAGTAATTTTTGTATAGTTACATTCTTAAAAGACTACAAGCGTGAACTGCAGAATTTATTTTCTCCAGCTTCGGGTAATTAGATTGTGTTTCAACCTTCTCTTCAGGTGGAGTTCTACCCTGACAGATATTTTGATAACGTCATCAGTAACCTCAAACACACGGCCATACTGAACTTGAAGAGACTAAAGGAACCAGTCGACCGAACAAAGTCAGTTTCTCTCTCATGGCTTTATCAAATGTCACAACAACATCCTCATAATCAACATTCTCATCATCATCAACGTCATGTGTATTATCAGCAGCAGCAGCATCATCATTATTATCATCATCATCATCGGCATCAACATCATCAGCATTATCAGTTTCATCATAATCAGCATCATAGTCAGCATCATTATCAGTATCATTATCATCAGCATTATCATCATACTCATCATCATCATCATCCTGGTCATAATCCTAATCCGCAACGTCATAATAAGCATCATCTCAACAGCAGAATCACAATCTTCATAACAAACATCAGCATCATAATTAGCATCATCATCAACATCTCATCATCATCATCAGCATTATCATAATCTTCATAATCATCAGCATCAATGTCTTCGTCGAACAGTTTTTGAATCTGGAGTTTTTTACTGAGACTGAACGAACCAGTGGAAGAAACAAAGTCAGTTCCCCTTATAGAGTTGTCTTTTAGAAGATACAAAAACCAGCCAACTGACTTGCCAAGCAAACAGCCTGCCAGCCCACTTATCTACCAACCAGCCCTTCCACAAACCTACTTCCAAACTTTCATATCAGCCATATTTTCTATCAACAAAAAAAACAAATAGCTACACCCCCCCCCCCCCCCCCCACCCCAACCACCACCGACCAGCCTACTAAAAACATACTTCACGGTCAATCAGCCCTCCAACCTACATAACTAACTTATCAGCCAACCAGCCCTCAAGCAAGCCCTTCCTGTCAACCTACCTACCAAGCAACCAGCCCTCCAGCAAGCCCTCCAGCCAACCTACTTACCAAGCAACCAGTTCTTCATAAAGCAATCCAGCCAACCTACTTACCAAGCAACCAGTCTTCCCACCAACCTGTTTACCAAGCTAGCAATCCAGCTTACCATCCAACTAGTCCTCCCACCAACCTGTTTACTAAGCTAACAATCCAACTTACCAAGCAACCAGTCGTCCCACTAACCTGTTTACAAAGCTAGCAATCCAACTTACCAAGCAACCAGTCTTCCCACCAACCTGTTTACTAAGCTAACAATCCAACTTACCATCCAACCAGTCCTCCCACCAACCTGTTTACCAAGCTAGCAATCCAACTTACCAAGCAACCAGTCTTCCCACCAACCTGTTTACTTAGCTAGCAATCCAGCTTACCATCCAACCAGTTATTCCACCAACCTGTTTACCAAGTTAGCAATCCAACTTACCAGGCAACCAGTCTTCCCACCAACCTGTTTACCAAGCTAGCAATCCAACTTACCATCCTTGTCCTCCCACTAACCTGTTTACCAAGCCAGCAATCCAACTTACCAAGCAACCCGTCTTCCCACCAACCTGTTTACCAAGCTAGCAATCCAACTTACCAAGCAACCCGTCTTCCCACCAACCTGTTTACCAAGCTAGCAATCCAACTTACCATCCAGCCAGTCCTCCCACCAACCTGTTTACCAAGTTAGCAATCCAACTTACCATCCAGCCAGTCCTTCCACCAACCTGTTTACCAAGCTAGCAATCCATCTTACCATCCAACCAGTCCACCCTCCAACCTGTTTACCAAGCTAGCAATCCAACTTACCATCAAACCAGTCCTCCCAACAACATAACTGTCCTACCTACAAGCTCTTCATCTAACCTAAATACCAGCCATCCAACTTACCCACATGCCAGCCAGCCAACCCTCCAGTTACCCTTCCTATCAACCAACCATCCCAATAACCAAGCTAACCACTAGCCAACAAACGATCTGAGAGCTACTTACCAGCCAAGCAGCCCTCTAACCAACCTACCTGTCAACCAGCATGCCGGCCAGCCATGCAACCTGCCTACCAGCCAATCTAGATATTAGCCAATCAGCCCTTCGACCAGTTACTATTTATACACTGACCAACCCACCAGCCAACCTTCCTGCCAAACAGTTTACCATCCAACTAGCTTACTACCAACCACTTTACTTACCTATTTACTAGCTAATCAAGTAAGCACACAGCCAGCCTATCTATCTACAAACCAACTCACAGATGTATAACAGCTCATGTTGTTGTCTACAGGTGGTCGACAACCCCAGCAGTAGTGAATGCTTTCTACAGCTCCACAAAAAACCAAATAAGTAAGTTTGATGAACTTCCTCATGTTGTCCACAGAAACAGATCAATAGGAAAATTTGTTAAACTTATACAAATGTTTGTTACATAGATGGGAATAAATGAAGCAAATAACTGAATCCTACATTGTTGTAAGCCTAGTAGGGCACGTAGCTATCCTTAAAATCTTGAAAGGCAGCTTGCCCTTTCAGGGCCTTTAAAAGATATGGAAAAGTCAAAGAGAGACTAAGGTTCTTGAAATTTGCCAGCAGTAACCGTGAAATAAAAAAAAGAAAAAAGAAAAAAAATCAGAAATAAAAAGTGTTTATAAGACCCATATGTTAGACAGTGATTATCACTAGATCAGAACAAAGCCGGGCTTTGTAGTGAAGCAGCTTTCCACTTCTTCTTAACCAAAGTGCATTTCCACATTTGCCCTGGTAAAGAGTTAAAAATTTTGTTGATTTTGAATTTCATTTGAAAGGAAAATTCAGTTGAAAGGATTCATTTCATTCAATTGTTACGTGGTTAGGACCTTGCGGGAGAGCGTGTACATTTCAGAGGAGCAAATGAATCACCACAGTCTGGTGAGATTGTTACAGCTGGGAGTGACGAGGGGTCCTGCAGATGCTCGAGGCTCAGAGGAAAGGCAAGATGGACATTTAATCAGAATGCTACTGGCGCCATTAGTATCGGAACTCTTTGCTGGCTGCTGAAGATGGGGACTGAGCGCTTATGGAAATGTCCCAAGTGCTGTGATGTCAGTTCTTGAATCAAATCAAATCAGTTGTTACTGTAACAGATTGTACAGTCTATGTTTGTGTCATCTTATGTGAACTGTATTATTGTTATTGTCATTATTATTATCATCTGTGCACACATCCAAATTCTTTTGGGCTGAACTATCTATACTTTTTATTTTATCTCCAGTGTTTCCTGCGGCAATTTTACAACCACCATTTTACAGTAAAGATTATCCCAAGTAAGTAGCCATCTTGGCATATCGTCATATACAAGGTCCAACAATTAAGTAATCAGACTGATTTTATTATGGCCAAGACAAAAATGCCATCCATGAAGCAAAGTGTTAAATCTAAAGAAGCAATATTCATCTATTATCTGGCAACTTTTCATCGCCACTTGATAAGCAGACAACAAACAAGCCGCCATTTTGTTGACCTAGTCAGAGGTGCATTGTTATATAATCAGCACGGAGAAAAAAGCTAATATTAAATTCTGTTCTTTTTAAAACTCAGAAATAAGCGCCATCGAAACTGTTGAATTGATGCAACAAGTTTATGGGGATAATTGTTTATCCCGTGCACACATTTTTAGGTGGTATTCACAATTCAAAAGTGGTGTGGAAATTATTACTAATGCACCTAGACCTGGACGCCAAATTTCTGTTTGTAATGATGAACTCATTGCAAAAGTCAGAGAACTGATACAAAAAGATCATTATTTTACTGTGAGGATGATGGCAGATGAATCGGTTGATAAAAGAGAGATCATTCATAACATTTTAGTGCAAGATTTTGGCAAGAAAAAAGTTGCTTGCCGGTTTGTACCAAATTCGTTTTCTGATGATTAAAAACATCAGCGGGTTGAGTACCCAAGAGACATCATCAAAACAAGAATTTTTGGCCCAAAAACAAGTGTGTGTTCTCAGCCTTCCACCCTATTTCCCAGATTTGTCTCCCTGTGATTTTTTTCTATTCCCAAAATTAAAGTTACAACAGAAGAACTGCAGAGGTCATTTCAGTGTTTGTTAGATCGTGCTACTTGCTGTATCGGTGCACAAAGGGCTTGCTTTGAATAAAATACAGGTTATATCTTCAACTGTTGGTTATTAAAATTGTTATAAAATTAGTCTCATTACTTAATTGCCAGACCTTGTACATATATTGTAATCATTTGCCAGATTTCAAGATGTGTAATGTCTAACTGGAATGTTATGGCAAATTTAGAGTCCTAATTAAATATTTCGATCAGAGTGGTGCTATCTCCACAAAAACATTAGCTGCAACATATCTCCAACTCAGTACACTCTTAGACTGGTGTTCGGCCATCTCTTAATATATTATTCTCACTTGAATCATTCTTTCTTTTCAGTGCTCATCTTTTCCCTCCAGTATGGTTTTTATGTGTTCTATTTTAATGTAGTCAAAATATCTCATTTATGTCTTTGTTCTTCCTTCTATTTTAATGTAGTCAAAATATCTCATTTATGTCTTTGTTCTTCCTTCTGTTTTAATGTAGTCAAAATATCTCATTTATGTCTTTGTTCTTCCTTCTATTTTAATGTAGTCAAAATATCTCATTTATGTCTTTGTTCTTCCTTCTGTTTTAATGTAGTCAAAATATCTCATTTATGTCTTTGTTCTTCCTTCTATTTTAATGTAGTCAAAATATCTCATTTATGTCTTTGTTCTTCCTTCTATTTTAATGTAGTCAAAATATCTCATTTATGTCTTTGTTCTTCCTTCTATTTTAATGTAGTCAAAATATCTCATTTATGTCTTTGTTCTTCCTTCTGTTTTTAATGTAGTCAAAATATCTCATTTATGTCTTTGTTCTTCCTTCTATTTTAATGTAGTCAAAATATCTCATTTATGTCTTTGTTCTTCCTTCTATTTTAATGTAGTCAAAATATCTCATTTATGTCTTTGTTCTTCCTTCTGTTTTAGCAGTTGTTTTTTTTTGTTTTTTTTTTATTTAGTCTCCCCAGAACTTCTTTATTTTATTGTTTTTGCTTCCTTGAAATGCAGAATATTCTTCCACATCTCCAATGACTATATTTGATTTTATTGTCGCTTGTTCATTGACCGGGAACTACTGTGGTATAACGGCTAGATGCTTGCCTGAGGTTCGTGGGCTCAAATCCGCATCGATTTGGATTTATATGTTAAATGACCTTGGCTTCCAGGTCGACCCAGCCTAAAATGTATACCAGGTAAAGTCCTGGGAAATAAAGGTGGTAGGCATGATATTGACCACATCACCTGCTCAGTGCTGATTGGTTTATAAAATGTAAGACAATACTGTGTGCACAATACTCATAAAGGCTTGGAAAAGGGTCCTTTACTCTTTTACTTTATTCATTGCCCAGGCTTCTGACTATAAAGTGAGTTCACAAGATTTGATCTTTAGAAACATGTGTAGCATCCGATGAAAGTATTGCTATTTTGTAATAGATCTTATTTTTGTAATTCTTACAGAAGCCTTAAATGTGTAATTATTGTTTTATGAATATTACATTTTGGTACTAGGTCATCATCATCATCATGTAGCAGGTCCTTTGCAGAACGTCGCTCTCATCACGGTCTGCCTGAAAGAAACTCGGTCTCTCGCCAGCTCTCCCGCCTCATGTACTTTTATACTCAAGGAGTCATTATATTCTGTGCACATCTTCGTTTTGGTCGGCCAACTGCTCCTCCTTCCTGGTACCATGCCTTCTGCTATTATTTTTCCCAATCCGTTGCAGCCCTTGATATGACAAAAATATTTCAGCTTTTCAGACAGGATGCTGTTTATTAGCCAATCTTCCTTTATGTTCAGATCTTTCAAGATGTCAATATTTCTCATCTTCTTTGTCCAAGATATTGGTACTGGGTTAGTCCTTGCAAAATTGGATTTGCCAACTTAATTACTATACTGTTAAAGGTTGGACCTCATGTCAGCTAAAACCATCTAGCTTTTTCTTTGTTTTGTTTATTTGTTAATCGACTTTGCTGTGTAGTTACTGATCTGGCCTCTTAATCCTATCTGAAATAGGATTAATCTTATCTGAAATATGCAGTTTTTGCTGCCATATTTTTTTTTTTCTGTTTTTGTTCAGCGGTCTGACTTTTATTATTGTTTTACAAATGTTATAAATGCATAAATCTAAAATGTTATTATTTTGGCATAATTTTTAATCTTTATAGATTCCCTTTTACTTTGTTGTAATATTCGAATTGCAGACATTCTTGTTGATTTGAAGTAATGTTTTTCTTACAGAACCTTTCTTCTTCTGTTTTATTATTTGTAATATTATCTTTATCCACAGTGGGGTAGCATTTTATAATCGCTCAATGGTTTCCATGAAAATCCAACCTAAAAGGCCTACCAGGAAATGTCATGGGAAGTAAAGGCACCCAACATGATGTTGACTATATTGCCCACCAAGTGCCAGTTGGTCTTTAAAAACATGAGCTAAACGCTTTAGAATTTGTTATTATTTTAGTATAATGTTATCATTGTGACTTATTATTTTTTTAATAATGTTACCTTTACCTATTTATTAATTATTTTGATATAATTATATCATTCTAGAAGTTGTTATTTTGATATAATGTTATCATTACAGAAGTTGTATTTATGATATCCTTAAAGAGGTAATTATTATTTCGATGTAAAAATATCCTTACAGAAGCCTGAACTACGGCGGTATTGGCATGGTCATAGGTCACGAGATTACCCACGGATTTGATGACAGAGGTAGACAGTATGACAAGAATGGCATTCTGGTGCAGTGGTGGGATGATGAGGTCATCAAGAGGTTCAAGGTAAGGTCACAGCTGGATTAGATGCTGGCATGGTGCAGGGGATTAGCTTGTTGATATATATGCGCAGTATTTTTTTTTTTCCACCTTTGTTATGCCATTGGGCATTTCCTGACATTGCTGTCGACTTACCCGGTCAATTAAGAGCCACCTCAACAGACTACTTGTTACTGATTATTTTCGTCTTCTTTGCATTCTTTGCATTCTGTTTCATATGCTTAGGTCAGACCATCGGTTGGGTTGCCTCTATGAACTCACATGTCAGCAGCAGGTTCTTCATGGTTCCGCATAGCTTGCTCTGCACACTTTGCTCTTGAGGCCAGGCGTCTTTTCAAAGTTGTATGTAGAGTGAGCAGGTCTGCAGAATGTGCTCAGGTTCTTGTGGTCCTGTTTGACAGACACACTGTGGGGACTGTACAATCTTTAGTCTATGCATGTGGTAGTTGAGCCTGCAATGTCCTCTCTGTATGGAATATTTTTGTACTGATTAAAGAGTCGACATCATTGTATACGAGCATACCCACATATGTTCCATCTCTTACAATAAATTATTTTCTTCTTCTGTTCATTCTCCCTGTCAGTTGTTTTCAGGTGAGAAATCTACGGGCCTATTTGAAAGATGTGGTGTAACGCATATCTTCCACTGATCCATACAGCTTGGTTTCCACAACAGTGCTAAATGGCCAGACCTGGCATCTGTCTAATGCATGTAGAGCGCATGTCTGTAGCACATGTTCAGTATTTTGTAGTGCCTGTCCACATGGAGAAAGTTCTGACATATTTCACTAAAAACATTTTTTCACACTTGAATTTTTTGTACATATGTCTGTGGAGTCTATTGTATCTAGTTTGCAGTCTTAATACAATGGTCTGTTGCTTTCATGTGAGGACGAATTGATTCTTCAGAATTGTGTTCTGCATCGGAAGTGTCCCGATGTGTTCTAAGACTGCCTTGATCTTGGTTTTATTTTTTTAGAAGAAACAAAGGTTCTTTGTGTAAATGGAGTCTGTTCCAGTAGCACACTGGGTCCTCTCAAATTGCTGCCCTTTCTTGCCGGATCCACACTTAATTCCAAATTGATGCAACCTTACAGTTTCATTTTTACATCATATCTGAACTTTTCTACCGTTTTCCTCGGCTCACTACACTCAGAGGAAAGGCAATACCGTTACCATCAGTATTGGAACTCTGCGCTGGCTGCTGAAGATGAGGACCAAGCATGCATGGGAATGCCCCGAGTGCTGTGATGTCAATTCTTGACTCAACTCTTTACATCATATCTTCCATCAGCCTTCAATCCTAAATGGTATTCACAATGTCTGCCTTGTCCAGTATGTGTGTGCCTGTCTCTGCTTCTTTTGTAACCAAAATATCCCTCATTCATTGCCTCACATTCTTGCACATCCTGAACAGTATGTCCACATGAATCCATGAAATTGATGTTTACTAGGTGTGCTGCCACCAAGAAATCTCTGAGGAGCTCAGCCACCTTTTAATTTTCAAGGACCCACCTTTTGTGACCCACCTTTTGTGACCCACCTTTTGTGTTTGATTTCATTTAACTCATTGGAAAGACTACATTCATCGATAGTTTTCCCTTTTTTTTTTTCACAAAAAAGTATTTAATGTATTCATCAGTAGTTTTTGTTTTTTATTTTTTTGTTAATCTTCTTAAATGTGAGAGAGCTTAATGTGCTCATTGGCAGTTTTATAACAGCTTTAACAGGAGAGAGCTCAGTCTGTTCATCAGTTGTACCCCCTTCCCCTCAGTCATCTTAATGTGAGAATGCTCAATCAATCAAGTTTTATTTCAATTTTTACATGAGAATACTCAGTGAACCAGTAGTTAACCTTTCAACAGATCAGTTGTTTTTGCCAGTTCTAGATGTTCCGGGGTCATTAAAAGCTGTCATCGTGTAGTAAAGAACACGCATTATTGACGCTGATTTAATTGGAGACAAGAAAACCTGACACCCCTTTGATGTAGACCAGCCTAAGAAAGCATGAATGAAATCCCAGTTACGCTGTTTGGGCTAGACTCTGTAAATAGGACCGTTTTTTAATCTTTTGCACTAGAGGTTTCTGACATTTTTTTCATGTTTTTTTTTTTTTTTTACAGTAGAGAGGGCTTAATTTGTTTATTAGTAGTTTCCAATCCTCTTTCCCAGGACAGATCTTAATGTGTCAGTCATTTCTTATCTTTTTTTCACAGAGAACGCTTAGTGTATCAGTAATTGTTTACCTCTTTCACAGAAGAAGGCTTAATATATCAGTGATTGTTTGTTCTCTTTCAAACAAGAAAGCTTAATGTATCAGTAGTTTCTTATCCTTTTTCACAGAAGAAAGCTGTATCAGTTATTTATTATCCTCTTTCACAGAAGAGGGCTTAATGGATCAGTAGTTTCTTATTCTATGTATACGTAGTTTCTTATCCTCTTTCACAGGAGAGGGCTTAATGTATCAGTAGTTTCTTATCCTCTTTCACAGAAGGCTTAATCTATCAGTAATTTCTTATCATCTTTCACAAGAGAGGGCTTAATCTATCAGTAATTTCTTATCCTCTTTCACAAGAGAGGGCTTAATGTATCTTTAGTTTATCATCTTTCACAGGAGAGGGCGCAGTGTATTATTGACCAGTACAGCAACTATACACTTCCAGAGGTCAACATGAAACTCAATGGCATCCAGTGTCAAGGAGAGAATATTGCTGACAATGGAGGTCTCAAAGAAGCGTATATGGTAAGATGTGTACAAAATTCAAGAGAAGTTTTCATAGCACAAGACAATTTTTGGATACTTCTTCTTAAAAGTCAATGCCAAGTGGTGTTGGTAGTCATGACTATCCACAACCTTCTGTATCGTGTACTTTCAGTCAACTCTGACACAGATGATTCTCCATGTCATGATTCAAACTGTCCAGCATATTTTCTCCCCATCTTCCTCTGCCCTCCAACTTGTCTACTGTCACGACGTAATCCACAAAGAATGTAGATTGTCTCTTTCTGATGTGGGCAATCAGTTCTCTACGTGAGTCAGTTTCTCTCAAGACATCTTCATTACTCTTTTTATCTGCCCAGGTTTTTCTCATCATTTGTCTATAAAACCACAATTGTGCCGCTTCAAAATAATTTTTCACGAATCTACCAACTGTCCCTGATTTATCTCTATATATCAAATAGAATTTATTTAGCTTTTAAGAATTCTCTTTCTCATCTAAATTGGCAAAGAAAGATTACATAAAATATTCTTCATTTTGTGCAAACGCTGCCTTTGCTTGAGCAGTTCTACATTTAACCTTTAATACATCTTCCATCTGATGTTATCATGGTATCCAAGTACTTTAACATCTCAATTTTTTTTTTTTAGGTTTGTCCTATTTACTTTGGTGTGGCACTTTGGAGTGTCAGTATTTTTTTTTTTTGGGGGGGTATTGTATTTTCTTTGTAAATTCATACTAAATAAACAAATTTAATTCTCATGTTGAATCAGTACGGCTGTTTGGAGCAGAAATATTAAGAACAACTAAAACAGCTACTGATGAACTATGCACATTCATTAACGGGTGTTTATGCAGAATTAAGAGGGAATTAAATAGTATGACAGAATTATTAATATTGAGCTTTGGAAGAGAACTAAACAAATTCAGATGAATCAAGAAGTGAAGAAAGGACACTGGTGTTGGATTGGTCATACATTGAGAAAACCTGAGAACAGTGTAACTAATCATGTCTGCACAGGAACCCACAGGAGCATAGTGATAAATGTTGACCAAAAAACACATGAAAAAGGGAGCTAGAGAGTAAAGTTAAAAAGATAGGGAGGACATGTATGAGCTACATGTAATAGCAAGGGATAGAATGACTTGGTTGAGGGCGCATGCTTCACTAGGGAATACTAGGCAGAAGTAGAAGAAGAATATTGGGACACTGTCACGGTGTCGACAGCTGTGCGGCAGGGTCAGGGCGCGTGTGCAAGGTGGTCTGAGCTGCCCTGACATACGAGTGTATTCTCATTTGAGTACTGTGGCTGCACTAAGTATTGTCCTGGTGTCCTTGCTATCCAGTAGCAGCTGTGGTGGCTGCATGCTTGCCTGCTAGCCTAGAGATGTTGGATTTGAATCCACATTTAGGTAGATTTGTGTAAATGACATAGAGTTCTCAGGTCAACGCAGCCTCAGAGAACCAAGAACTGTCCTTGGGGCCAGCATGATGTACTGACCACATCACCCATTGAATGCCAGATGCTCTATAAAAATTATGGGTCCAGTACTATTCGCCTCATGTGCCAGAGGGCTGAAAATGGTAGTTTGCTTGTGTCCTTTACCCTACTGTCTTGATTGGGCGGTGGTCTAAGTTACTACTCATATGAGTATCTTCAGTGTACAATCAGTGTTGTTCTGCAGCAGTGAGTTTCAACCTTCCTCCCCCCCCCCCCCCCCCCCCGAATATATAATGTTCACCCCCACACCCCATAAACCAAAAAAAAATTGTGATTAAAAATAGGACATAAAGAATAATCCCAACCACTATTACCAAGAATTCTAAGAAAAACATACATGTAAATCAAAGTGTCAAATAAAATAAAATAAACAGTCACCAGCTCTTGGTACTTTTAGTGTTCAAATAACAGTGTTATGGTTAACACAATTTTGTCTTGATGATATCTTCTATTTTTGGTCAGATCTTGGACAAGACAGAACTGAGACCACTATCCACATCAAGCTTTGTTTTGTTTTTACCATTGTGAAATTTAAATTCTAATTAAACAGAGAAACATGTTAGTATTTAATTAGTATGAGGATCGTTACCAGTACAGGAGGACTCAGTTTCAAAATTGTTGACCCTTTTCTCCCCCCCCCCCCCCCCCCCCCCCACAGGTAGAAAACCCCTGTTCTGATATATTATAATAAAACTCCACAGGGGAGCATACACAGTGGGAGTCTACCGGTCAGTAGAAGATCCTCCGCCTACAGTTGTTTTGGCCCGTTACCATCTTAAACAAT